ATTCCCAGATCAAGTCCAAACAGACAATAGGAAGGACAGGAATGGATCAGTTCAGTGTGATTTTTCTGGATCAAGGTTAAAAATGAAAAGATCCTTTAGTAGATCAATAAAACTTAAGTTATTTCCTTTTCCTTGACTTCAATTTTCTTATGAGGGGTAAAATCAAACTAGGTATTTTTTTGTAGCAACATTTCATTCCCAAGGCTTCCCTCTTTTCCTAAATTACACATTCCCAGAAACTCTAAGGCAATGCCCTTTGGTAGATCAGAAGGAAAATGGTTAAAGGCTACTAATGAAGGAGACCCACACATTTGTTTCTCATTACAGACACCCAGCACATTATGCTGCCCTCTTTAAATACCAAAACCAACGAACACAGGTAAAACCTACCCTTCTGCCATTGGGCCCGGATCTTTTTGCGGTAGACATAATAGCAGCGGTCTAAGGCACTGAGGTAGCATTGTATGGAGAGCTTGCCATCCACTATAGGATACTCTGAGAGCATATCAGGCTTGTAAAAGTCATAAGCATGCTGCATATGGGTTCCACGAAGCCCTAGCATACACAGAAAAGGAAGAGGTCAGTGTAGTTTTACATCTTGATATTTGTATATAAGGACATTGCATTATCTGAGGGCCTTCCTTAACTATCAAGTCAACCCTCTGCACTAGGTAAAATGAAGGAGCGCTTGACACGAAGCACAGCAGTATCCATGAACAGGCCTAAGACTCCTTTGGTATGTTTTCATTCAAGTGTCACAAACCCAACTAGACAAATCACAAGTGCTCTACTGAACTGACAATAAATTTCCCTTGGCATTTACTGGGTGACCATGGGCAAGTTACTCTGGCCTACTGAAACCCATTTTCCTTCTCTCTGAAATGGGGATGATACCACCTACTGCACAGGATTGAGTAACGTAACCCATACATAGCACTTTGCAGGTACTGCCTGCTGTACTTAATGAATCCTTAGGAAGGACTAGTTGTTCTCTATATGTTATTTCTCAGCATACTGTGTTAAAAATAAAAATCTTTCCCACTTACCTCGTTCAAAAATTAAAGGAGCATTTGGCCCAATTAGCAAAGCAACGGCTCCCACTCCACCGGTTGGCCTAGCATTTCCTGTGGCATATACAGCAATATCTCCGGCAACTACCAGGGCATACCGTCCTGCAAAATATTTTCAGTTAGCTCACACACAAGAATATGATTCACGCTATACCAATACATGTAAATTGAAGTGTGCTATATTCTACCCAGAATATCCTTTCTCATTCTTTGGCTAAAAAAGGGAAGTGTTCCAGCAAGAGTTTGAATTGATCATTTTGTCCCACAGAAAAAAGCTAACCAATTCATAATTCAGGTAAGGTGAAAGCCATGGTCTTTACACAACTTAACTGGTAGGAGTCAGCATGCAGCATTAATTCAAAGGTAACTTGCTTTCTTTTGGAACAGAAGCATGTAACATACCATCCCAGGAGCTGGACTCAATCCAGTTAATGGCATTGAAGACAGCAGCCGTGCCTCCATAGCATGCATTCGTTGTATCTATTCCTTCTATATCGGTATTCCCAGACTCCTCAAATAGCTGCATCAAATTAGTCTTCACTGACTTTGATTTGTCGATGATGGTCTCTGTCCCAACTTCCAGACGCCCAATGCAGTCATAGGAAAGGTTGTTTCTCTCCATAAGATTCTGAACCGCAGTCAAGCAAAGAGAGTTGATATCTTCTCTATCGGTGCAGAAACCCATCTTGGCCTGGCCCAAACCAATGGTATACTTTCCAGCGTCTACACCATCATACTTTTCCAGCTCTGATTGATCAACGTACTGGGAAGGAAAGTAAA